TCAAAGCTCTGGGGCCTGGTGCAGTGGCCCACTTGAAATTCTACTCTCGGCCAAGGAGAGAGGCTGTCTGCATCTTCCCTACCATCTTGCACTTTGTGGCTGTCCATGCCGTTAGAGTGTGGTCTTCCAGATACCAGCAGAATCGACAAGACGAGGAGGTTTAAAATCCCAGCGCCAATATACCATCTTGGATCCATGTCTGTAGGCAAGGAGGAAGTTCCTGGTGGGAGAGATGGACAGAAAAACCCTGAGATCCAAAGGAGGGGGCTCTGCAAGAGAAGAGAGACCTTCTTGCCTATACCTGTGCCTCTCCTTTGTAGCCTGATTCTTCTCTGCCAAACCCAAAGCACTCGTCTTCTTCTTCTTCTTCTGCAGGCTTTGACAGCACCCAGCAGGAAGAGGGGGCACAGTGGAGCGAGAGGGTAGCGAAAGCAGCTGGAATGGGGAAGATCTGGCATTGCGAAATAGTTCTGGTTGCCAAAACTCAAAAAAGACATCGTGGAACTGGGAAAGGTGCATAGGAGAGCGACTAAAATGATTACTAGTCGAGAGAAAAGGCGCCTGACTGGAGGGGGGGGGGCATGACTGAGACCTCTAAAGTCATGCAGGGGGTGGATCAAGTGGATGGATGGAAGCTCTTTTCCCTCTCGTGCAATCCCAGAACTAGGGGACATCCCCTCCAATGGAGTGAAAAGAGACCAAATAAACTATTTCTTGATCCAGCATGTTGTTAGTCTGCAGAACTCCTTGCCACAGGATGTGGTGCTAGCATATGGCCTAGAGGCCTCTAAAGGCGGATTGGATAGATTTCTAGAGGGAAAGCCCACTGCAGGTTACAAGCCAGGATGGGGATGATGCGTGATGTTCAGGTTTAGCAGGAAGGGACCTCCAAATGCCAGATGCAGGGGAGGGGCATCAGCAGCAGCAGGAGCGGCACCCGGCGCTGCGTCTTAACGCTGCCTCTCATGCTAATGACGTTCCCTAAAAATATGCAGGCAGAAGGAGGGAAGGAAGAAACCTGTTCGAACCTGTTTGCCTCTTTGCGCCTGGGAGGGAGCCCTGCCAAGCGAGTCTTTCTGGGAAAGTTGTGGTCTTTTCCCCTCCCCTCCCTCAGCACCACAACCCCTTTCGGCTGCCAGAGGAAGAGGAGTTGCTGGCCCCATCGGGGCTCTGTCCCCCTCAGACCCCACCCCTCCCCCACCCCTTGGGCACGTGCCCCTCGTCACACGGTTGCCACTTCCTGTCTCCTGCTAAACCCAGCACAGAGTTGCAAATGAGTTTTGCTCCTTTTGGATTTCACAGTCACCTAGTACTTTCTCCTTTGCCCGATGCAAAGGAAATGGTTCAAATCCGATCGCTTGCTCCTGGTGCAATTGCAAAGCAGGTGCTGCTGCAGTTAATGTTGCAAGAAGCTGATACTAAATCTTTTTGCACTTGAGACTTGTGTAGTTGTACAGTGGAACGTTTCATTAAGACTTGCATTCGTGCAACAAGAGGTATTCGTTAAATTTGAATGGTGCTCAGGGAAGTTGACAAAATGCCAGGGAGACTAAAAATAAAAATAATTAGCCAAAATAGATTACAGAGACCTAGGATGAGCACAATATCTATTGTCCCAAGAGATTTCACAATCATTTCAGCACTTTCAAATTTACTCTGGAAAGGCAGTATTGGTCTGAAGAGTTTCCCTTTTAATATGTCTACATGAGTAAGAGAAAATGGTTATAAGAAAGCATGGAGATGGTATTTAACTCCAATAAGATTGAATATAATAAATAAAAATATACCATCTCAATGCTAGAGATGCAAAACGGAAAGAAGGCATATGTGGTGAATAGGGATCCTACCTGTGCTGGATGGGGCTACACGACCCCTGAAAACTCAGCTCCACAGCTTAGGTGTACTCTTGGATTCATCCCTAAGCTTGGATGCCCAGGTCTTGGGGGTGGGCCAGGAGTGCATTTGCACAGCTAAAGCTGGTGTGCCAGCTGTGCCCATTCCATGAGATGTCAGATCTGGCTACAGTGACACATGCCTTAGCTACATCCCGTTTGGATTATTGTAATACGTTCTATGTGGGGCTGCCTTTGAAGACAGTTTGGAAACTTCAGCTGGTGCAAAACTCTGCAGCCAGATGACTGACTGGGGCCAGCTACAGGGAGGATATAACACACCTGTTATAAGAACTGCACTGGCTACCAGTCCGTTTCTGGCCCCAAATCAAAGTGCTGGTCATAACGTATAAAGCCCTATATATATAGTGCTTGGGTCAAGGCTACCTGAAGGAATGTATCTCCCCATATGTGCCTTCTTGGCGATTAAGACCAGCAGAGGAGGCCCTCCTCTCAGTCCCATTGCCAGCACAAGCACAGCTGATGGGGACACAGGAAAGGGCCTTCTCTGTGGCAGCTCCTAGGTTATGGAACGCTCACGCTCGGGAGATCAGGATGGCCCCCTCCCCTGTTATCCTTTCAAAGAAAGCTAAAGACCTATCTCTTCAGGCAGGCATTTAACAATTATAACTGAATCCTTGAACCCCATTTGAGTAGATGATTTTAATCTTTTTTATGTTCTCATGTTTTAATCTTTTAATCGTATTTTAAATCAGATATAGTTTAATTTATCTTTTAATATTTAACTTACTGTGTTTTTAAATTGTGTGAATTTTAATGTTGTGAGCTGCTTTGGGTCCCTTGTTGGGAGAAATGCAGCATATCCTGTCAGCTTCTTGCTGGTAATGTGCAGAATTTCGATGAAGGAAAAAAAACACAGGCTCCTCTTCTATAGAGACACATGTATTTACAAAAAATATAGAAATACTGCAGCTTCTTGCTGGTAATGTGCAGAATTTCGATGAAGGAAAAAAAACACAGGCTCCTCTTCTATAGAGACACATGTATTTACAAAAAATATAGAAATACTGTATACAAAGCAGCAGTCCTTCAGCGTGGCAGCAATATAGAGGCAAAGTGCATAGAGGATAGCAGGGTATAGAGGAAGGAGAAGAAGAAGATACATAATACAGTGGTGCCCCGCATAGCGACGTTAATCCGTTCCAGGATTAACGTTGCTATCTGGAAACATCGCTATGCGGTGGGGAAAACCCCATAGGAACACATTAAACTTCGTTTAATGCGTTCCTATTGGGGAAAAACTCACCGCCATGCAGGGAATCCTCCATCCAGTCGCCATTTTCACCACCTCGGTAAGCGAGGGCAGGCCGCAAAAAGGGAGCGGGCGGCCATTTTCTTCTTCCGGCAGCCATTTTGGAACTGCCAATCAGCTGTTCCGCAATCATCGCAATGCGATGTTTTGCCATATAAAACATCGCAATGCGATTGCAAAAACGCATCGCTATGCGGATTTATTGTTAAACGGTGCGCTTGTTATGCGAGGCACCACTGTATACACATTGTTCAGTTATATACATTTGAGCAGATGCCTTTGTCCAATCACGACAAACGTTGCATCATCTTCATACATGATGTTGCATCTTACACAGATGTTGCATCATCCTCTTCACAGTCACTGTGACTCAGCACTTCAGAGTCTGGCACACGTGATCATTGTGGCAGTTAATTAATACTACTGTCGGGACCTGTCCAGGCCTATAAAATTCCCAATATTCTGACGTATAAATAAAACATAATAATAATAGTAATATGGTAGAAAGATTAGTATTTGCAAAGAATTGGAAAAGCAACAAACAAATCAATCTTGAAGATTGGTATAAAGCAATGTGGAGTTTAGCAATTAAAGATAAATTAACATGTGAAACAGAAATAAGAAGAGGAAGGGTATAGTCTAATGATTTAAAAGATATATCAAATCAATAATTGGAATATCTCTTCTTGAAGGGAAAGGACTATATGGGAGAATCAATGTATTTTTGAAGAGGAATGGGATGAAAATTGGTACAAATTGATTTTATTGGTTAGCTAGTCCCAAGGGTGAATGTGACGCAGGTGGGAAATATGTATTGTGTGTAGTCACTACTGAGTTTGTACTTTAGTTTTTTTCCTGTTATTTGTAAGTCTCTTCTTATCTATTAAAAGAAAAAGAGAGAGTTTCCCCTGCAACTGAACCACGAAGGTTAGGTGTTTTGGCAACAATGAACTCATGTCGATCCTTCCATAACTTCTCTGCAAAACTTTTTTTAAAGTATCATGCTTTCATTAGCAAGAAACATCAAAGGAATTGGAACAGGCTTTATAGTAGACCAAGATTTTTTTAAAGTATCACTTTCAGCCACTTTGTTCCTTTTTCTAAATCAAGTCTGATCATCGAAAGCCTGGGTTCATGGAGCATCACAATATTATGCCCTTCTCATTTCTCAAGATGACGAAGAAATAGTCAAAGAAAAACACTAAACAAATAAGAAGCATGGTTGTTGTAGGTTTTTCAGGATGTACCCATAAATGGCCTGTTTCGCACCTGCTCCCCAGCCTCCTTTTAGTCGCTGTCGGATGGGGCTGCATCGCCCGTAAAGAGGCTTTTCTCTGCTGTGGCTTTTAAGCAGAGCTTGGAAATGTAAACATTCTGGATTGTGACACCCGGAGTCTCCTGTGGAAGCTGGATTCTAGAGGCTGTAATCAATTCAGAAATACAACTTTTCCAAGGTTGTAGGTTTTTCGGGCTGTTTGGCCATGTTCCGGATTTTCTTCCTAACATTTCGCCAGTCTGTGTGGCTGGCATCTTCAGAGGACAGGAGTCTGTCTGTGCTCTGGTGCGGTTTTGTGGGATAGTTAAGTATTTATAGCTGTGAGTTGTGGGTGTATTGTGATAAGGGGGAGAGATGATCTGTGGCTGGGTAGAGTTTGTTGACCTTTTTGCAGGCTGTATTTTTCAGTGCTGGGAGCCAGGCTTTGTTGAGTTTTAGACTTTCTTCTTTTTCGTTGAAGCTCGGCTGATGCTTTTGGATTATCCTTCCTCTTCCCCTCCTGCTTCTGCACAGCTGCCCAGCCGCTCATCTGCTTTGTTTTGCTGCTTTTTTTCTCCAGGCTGCTGCTTCCGACTCGCTGGAGTGGTGATGCTGGGAGATCTCCCTTGGAAAGACCCCCACCGAGGAAAGGGACATGATGGCTTGAGGTAAGTGGAGAGACCATGGGCGGGTCGTGGGTGAGATGCTTTACTCGCCTTTTGCTCCTGGGCATCCGGCTCCCAGTAGCCAGGCCAGGCTACCAGCAGATGGTCCAGGGAAGCCACCGGACCTCTTCTGTGCGGCCCAGGGCTCGTGCACCTTTTTGCTCTGCTCAAGTGCCTTTTGCACAGGCGGAAGCCGAAGGCTCTCTCTTTCCAGCGTGCCTCTGGGGGGACTCTTAGGGAGTCTGGCTTGAAGACAGCTCTCTGCAGAGGGAGGAAAGGCCAGGTGGTACCTCTGATGCTTCCCTCCTGCAAGTCCCTGCCCTTCTTGAGCTTCCAGCAGCTGCTGGACCAGGACTGAGTGTGAGGGTCAGCCACATCCTACTGCTCAAGACTATACGGGATATCCAACCCAACTGTCAAAAGGACACCAGTTTTGCAGAGCTGTGTCCAAAACGGGGAGTAGGAAACATTTTGAGTGTTGAAGCCTAGCAGCTGAAACTCAACTTGTGCTAAGCACAGAAAAGACCCTTCTTCAGCATTGTGTCGTAGAATGAATCCATACAATGTTAAGCTCAAGAAGATCTTTAAAAAGGCAATGTTAGATCAACACCTGCCATACAAACACTGACTCCTTGTGTTTTGGTAACAGCGTGGTTGGCATAGAGATCTGAAGGTGCTGAAACCTTGTCCAAATTGTCAGCCAGAACATGATTCTTGGTCCCTGAGGTTGTTTCTGTGAACTGTGTGGATTCTGATGAACAGTGCAGCTTCAGGAAAGAGAGCCCTCGACTGTGTACATATGGTGCAATATTTAGTCCTCCTGTAATAGGGTAGTTTCTTTTGTTTTGTTTTGCTCATCATCTGCAAAAAGTGTTAGCCCATAATCTTTGAAAGAGCAGCCTTATTATTTGTTTATTACTTTGATTTATATACCACCCCACTATTGCTGGAGCTCAAAAGAACGTGAACTGTATGCATTTTTAAAGAAAGTGATGAAGACCAGGAGTTGTTGCCCTTGTTTACCCATGAATTCAACTCCAGATTTTGGTACCTTCTGAATTCTGATGCCCTGAAGCAAATCCCATTTAAGTTCAAGGGCTAGGACACTTTTCAAGGGTTTCCCTTCCTTGGAGAAATAAGTGTGAGTCCCTGCTATTTCTACTACTCCGAGAGGAGTCCAGGGACATAGCCTCTCTTAAACTTCCTTTTCCTACTTCAGTCCTAACTGGGAGTTTTCTTTCTGGACAGGAAGCTAGGCAGAGCTAGGCCTAAGTAACCCTCAAATTCTTCCAGTTTAGGCCTTTCCAGCAGGTGAGCCAGGTCTAGGTGTCTGTGAGATGTCTGTCTTTCCGTCTGCCAGGTAAAACTCCAAGAATGGCAGATTGTGAGTTTTGTAGTCCAATATTTTTTAAAAAAATATCCCATCCCAAGTCAAAAGGGCAGAGGCTCTTTTAAATAGGCACCCCCTCAGAGCTACACTACCTGTTAAGATGCAGAATGTTAAGAACGTAGATTTCAGCAAAATGATCAAAGTCAGGAGAATACGGAAGGTTTTCTTACCGTTCACTGGGCATTTGTGGACAGATTGAGGTTGGAAAGCTTTCGTAAATTCAGTTCTTAAAGAAACCTCTGTTTTATGAATGTGGGATATTATGCTTCTGTACCCACAATTCAAAATGTCAGGAAATGACCCAATATTGCTGCAAAATATGGTGCCTGCCTGTCAGCAGGAAAAAGAATGGCAAGCTTTTCCTTAGGAAAGAGAAGCCTCAATGTTGACAACACTAATGGCAGCAGTCAAGGTGGTCTATAGCAGTGGTCCCCAACTGTTTTGGAGCCATGAAGTGGCTGGGGGGAGCGAGCTCCATGTGCGGGGCAACAGGGGCACCCCTGCGCTCACATGCTGGACATGTGGCACCCGTGGTGGGTGTGTCGCATGCACCACATGAGTGTGACATGCCCACTGCGCGAGCATCTCACACACCCCCACAAGTGTGACATGCCTCCCATGAGCATGACACTCCCACCATGCATGTGTGCATGGGGGTGGTGGAGATCTGTATCCGCAGCCCAGTTCCGGCAAACCCACGGACCAGCACTGGGCTGCGGACTGAGGGTTGACGACCCCTGGTCTACAGGATACTCTCTGGTGCTCAGTGCCATAGGCACTTGTAGGAAAACACCCCCGATTATTGCTTTGCCTTCCAGTGACAAGTGGTGGGCTGATGAAAAAAGGAGTTTGCTTCTGGGATTTTCAAGGATGACAGGGAAGTTTGTTCAAGAGACTCTTGGACATCACCAGCAGGTTCGATGGCCAGCTTGTCATCACTTTGCTTCATGTATCTGCCACCCCAATGACCAGGTGAATGATGTGGGCTTTTTCAATTATTATTATTATTACATGCAAATTAGAGTCTAACAGGGGAAATTCAAATACAATTTCCAGCTATTGTGTAGTGATTTCTTTCTTTGGAGGATGTGCATGATCTCCATTGGCAGAGTTTATTGAATTTCATAATTTGGGCTAGAAGGCTTTTCTTTAAACTGACCTCTCCATGTGCTATATTCTCTTCCGTCCTCTCCTATTTGAGGGAGCCCATCTGGAAATATGGGATCATTCGTTCTAATATATTAAAATGCCCCTGATAATCACACAGTCTAGAGGTATGTGATCATGAGAGGACAGAGTGAGAAGGAAAGAAGAGAAAGGGGAACATTTCCAAAAGGAAAGACAGGATTTTAAAAAAGTGAAATGCCAACCAGAGAAGAGAGGAGGAAAAGCCAGCCTTCCTGCTGGATAAAGCAAGAGCTTCTGCCCCTGAATTTCAGCCTGTTTAAAGTGATCCTTGAACAGTGTCTGGCCTTTTAAGAGCAAAGTCAGCCAATCCCAGTGAGGGACTGTGCAGAAAGTAAGGAGAGGCAAAAGTTTGTGAACCATCATTCTCTCTGAGAGTGCTCAAAAGTTATGAAAATGGCTGTTTTTCCTATTTGAAAGAGCAATTTTAGGCTATCAGTTTAAGTAATTTTTTCTATAAGTCTGAATGGATTTGCTTCAGATAAAAAAGGGGGGGAGAATAAGGCAATTTCTGTTCTTTTAAAATAAAAAACATTTGTTGCTCTATGGAGCCAAATTTGCCACAGAGCAGTAGCAGACAGTCTTTATTTACAGTATTTTATTTATTTATTTTATTTATATCCCGCCTATCTGGTCTTGCCAAAGTTTGGTGCCAATGTGAAGCCTAGTGTTAATGTTTTTTTTTTTTTTGGATCACCAACTCTTTTAGAGTTGCATTGAGGAATCTTATTTTGATCCACTGGCAAAATATCATTACAGCACTTCAGGGCAGTGCTAATAACTGCAAAAGCAAGGTGGCAGGGTGGTGGTAGTTAATTCAATATTTTCCCCTCCTCCCAAAAAAGAATTCAGAATCCAACACCCCTTGTTCATGAACCAAGACTTTGGAGCAAGAGAGAGGGACTTCCAATTGTTGTTGGTCTCTAACTTCCGGAATCCTTAACCAGGAGAGTGTGTGGCGAACGATTCATCAGTGCTACATCACAGGTGTCACAAGTTCCCGTTCCAAACCACGCTGCTCTTTCCCTCCCGTTGCGTGATCATCCAGTCCAGTCCAGTCCAGTCGTAGCAGGAGTGTGTGCTTCCCTCTTCCCGCTCACTTTCTGCCCGTCTCCTCGTCTGAGTGGGCAGATGCCCCAGGAGGGAAGAGCACGCTCCTGATGTGACTGGATGATCAGATATTGCAAAGATGAGGAAAAGAGCAGCACATGCTGGCTGGCGAGTGGGGGAATTGGCCAGGGGGGGTGGAGGAAGGGTACACACAGCAGCTGTGGTGCCACACCAGCAAAGTGGCACAAACCCCTAAACCAAGATTCATGCCCATCTCTATTAATGGATGTTGATGCAAAAATATGAACTCCTGTACTGGTCAATAGACTTCAGAAAACAATTACAACTTTCACACCTTCAGACCAGGTTGGGTTCATACAAGTTTGGCAGGATACTGATAACTTAAGACTGATTGTGGATTTGGTTGCTTTGAATGATGGGCCAGGTTGCTATTTGACGTGATACAGAAAAAGACATGTCAACATATATTGGCAGTTTATTTTTCTTTTATTTGCTAATTTTGGTTTCCCTCCTGAATGTCTGAGATGGATTCAGATCTTTTATTTGTTTCTA